CAACACTCAACTATCAAGACTCTCAAAATAATCATCGCTTCGAATACATAAAGAATATAAATAAACTACTTCTAATTTTATATCCCTTCCTCAATACATTTCTGATTGTCCTTCGATCCTCTCCAGCTTCCCAAATATAAAAATTTAAAATTCAAAAATCTCGCGCAATTCCAAATCCGTCAAATATATCTCCTTTATTACTATCAGACATAAAACAATATGCTGCCTCATCACGTTACATTAAAATAATTTTGAGCAGCAACATCCTATTCACTCTCGGCCATATAAAAATCAAAAAATCCAAACATCTCATCTATTAATAATGGATTCCAAGGCAAACACCAATCAACAAAATTTATAACCAACAACTATTTTCTTGTCCTCATTACGAATTTATGCAATTTTTTTTTTAATCAAACAATAATCAAGCTAAGAAATTACATATACTGATAATTGCAACAAATAAGACAAAAACTAACAAAAATAAAAATACCAAATACTCACGTGAAAACTAATACCTTCATGAATGTTCTATATTTCTCAAATTTTACTTTCCCGATACGTATAGTATATGAGTAATATTCTAATAGACATTATAATCTGGCAAAAATCATTCAATTCAACGAAATACCACCCCCCAATACCGAAAAACCCTCTAACGGTCCTATACCGAAAAAATGTTTATTTCCAAACCACCTCTTCCGTCTGTGCTGAAACACTCTTAAATCATGCTGATTTTCCAAAATTTGATACTTTAACATGGAATACCCAGACATTTCAACAAATTTTACTCAAATACTTCAAAATTTTCTTTAAATTTCTTAAAAATAGGGATAACATACACTTATAAAAAGCATTCATTTCACGTACTCTAATTTCAAAATTCAAAATATAATTTTTCGTGTCTTCTACCTACTAAAAAAACATAAAATAAAGTGTTCCTCAAAATAAAATTCCCATATATCTCATCACCTACATTTTTAAATAAAAATGAGTTCTTCATATTCACAATATGTTAATAAAAAAAATAAAAAACCAGTTCTCAAAACCGCTTTAATTTTTTTCTTACAACTTGGATAGTTCAAATGTTCTAAATGATGCATGAACCCATTTGCTCTATTCTTTAGTTTTTTTTAATACAAAATTGTTAATTTTTATTCTTCTAGCTTAATATTATACTAGCACAATTTTTCACGTTTTATTATAACATACTTTAAATTATTTCACATTACAGTTCCTCAAAGTAAAATTTTCTGGAAAAACTAGCCAAAAATCATTACCCAAAACGCCTAACCACCATTGTCCTCAAAAAAACTCCCAGTATTTCTTCTTCAAACATTTCCGCTATTTTTTTTATTTTTCAAAATTACACAAATGGAATTTTTTGATAGATTTCCACCCGAGGCACAATTGTCCACCAATTTAAACACTATTGTACATATTTGTGAGTAAAGTACTTAAAATACTTCAAATTAAGTTTTCGAAAAACTCAAAACTTAAACAAAAAAAAAATTCAAATTCAATTACAGTTCGCTTAAACCCAGTTGTTCAAAACACTCCAATTTCATAGAAACAATTCTCTTTAGACGAGCTTTACTTGTCTTAATTTTCTAAAATGTCCTTCTACTATTAATAAACGAAATTATTAAGAAAACTCAAAAAATGTACTTTGCGCCCGATAGAGGACAGCTTCAAGAATGGATTTTTGGTAGGAGCAAGTCCGAATAGCTAGCCGAGACCAAAAAATAAGAAAACTAATACGGAAAAATCCTATCCCCTTCTTGAAGCACCACTATTGATTTTTACGTGCATTTGTGTCCTGTCTTGCGCTGTTCGTCGTGAATCCGTGTATGAATTTGGTGTGGTGTTCTTTCTACTCATACTCTCGGGTGTATGCGTACAGAAGGGGAGAACAAATTCATTAACATTCTCCCTGACATTTCTGTATCATCTGATTGTACAATTATTTATTTAACCAACTTTACCTTTAACTTGAAGTCCATTATTGTCACCATTATTTCTATTCCAGTTAAATCGAAAAATGATTACTTTTTCCTAGCCACTAACATTCAAATAATAAGCACCTCATTATAATTAATTATATTTCTATAAATCTATATATTTCTACATACTTAAAAGAAAATAAAAACTATTTTCTTGCTTAGCAACAATGCGCATGCTAAGTGCATGCACTTTTCAACAAATTACTACCACCGATATGAAACAACTGTTTCCTGAATTAATGTTTATTTACATTTTCTAATTTCAGTGTTTAAACCTTCAGAGTTTTCAAAATAATTCATTAAAATAAATGGTCTTTCTTCCTACACCTTTAACTTATATAATTTCCAATACTTTGCTGAAATTAGAACTTTAATTTTCCATCATAGCAAATTTTGGCCTGAAAAAACAAATATTATTTAATTATTGATGTTTCCAGTTACAAAACAAAATATGCATAAAAAGAAACAAAAACTAATGCAAACACTCCTCTCCTCCCCCCCCCCCCCGATCGGCCAATTTTTAGACCACGTGATACGAATACGCATCTGTAACCACCGAGTGTCCCATCATATTTTCCGGCGGTAGGTCAAGGTCTTTTTTAAGAGGGGTGGCGTCAGCTTTTGTGCTGAATCCATTTTTACACCCGATTGAGCTCTGGGAGAATACGTATGAAATGTAAATGATAGTTGAAATGATCATGGACAATTAAAAAACGCACAGACACACCCAAACAACCATATACCCGGGATGAGATCTCGAACTCCTACCCTTCAAGGCACGAGCAGCTTATGGCAATTCATCGTTAGCGACCTTCAGCTCTCTTCCCGCGGCCCAAACACATTTACTATTGTATTATTTCTTCATGTAGAAGACAAGCAGAAGAAAAAACCGGAAAATAGAACTTATTTCGAACCGAATTCCTCAATGGTAAAAAAGTTACTACTATATTTTACTATTATACTACAAAATTTATTTACTATATATTTTTTAATGTCACATAAAGAAATAATAAATTGTAAATGCTCCCCAACTGTGTATATGATCCTAAACATTTATTTTTACTACTCAAAGTTCGAAGGTATCTTTCTCATCATTTTTACTTCGACTTAATCACGCCTATGTGAACTTACACACTAATTCCTCGAATATTAGTCAATTCAAATGTTAGCCCTTACTCGAACAAGAAGCATTAAAAAGCTCACCTATACAATTCCCTTAGGTCCCAGCCGCTTTTTAAAAAGGAACATAATTGCGTAGGATGTGCGCTCCTTTGCTACATTTCTCCGTAAATCTTTCCGGATCAAATTTTCTGGATTAGGAAAATATTTGAGATTTTTGTGCAAATAGGCAGGCTTGCCAGAAATCACAGTTGTTCCAGGCCACGATATTAAATTCCTTTCTGTATAAAATATAACAATTTTAAGTACGTATGAACAGTACTTGGCCAATACTACAAATATATATGCGTTATTTAACAAGCAAAACGATGCTCTCCAGAAAAATTGTAGCAACCTGTGCTTATTAAAGAATACTAATATTAACCGAATTTTAATATAACTTAAGATTTCCCTAGCCACTAAATCTCTAACACTAACTTGATTGATCACATTGTGCTCATTTTAGAACATTGTTCAAAATATTAAGTATTATTAAACTTATTACCTATTTTACATCTTCATTTAGTTCACGAAGAAGAATTACACTGGTTACAGTCCAGTGATTCGATGACACATTTCTAAATACTCATTTTCGTTCAAATCTTCAGTTGTTGGTTCTCTTTGAGTGTCTCCAAATATTTCAAACAATTCTTCATATACTTTTTGCTTAAACAAAAGAAATGTCGACATTGGAAACATGTGGTCTTTCTATCAAGTTCCCTCTACAATTAGGTACACAGCCATTTGCAGACCGCAGACAGAACATAAATAAATAGTTGATCTATACGCATAGAAACAATCTCTATCGGTTCCATGCAACTATAAATAATACTTCTAGTTGCTGCAAGAGCGAATCTTAATTAAGTTATGCAAATAAACTATGCAGTGTGTGCAAAACCACGGTTACACTGAAAATCTAAATAGCATAAGATAAAGGAATCTAAGCCTCTATATGACGTCACAAAAAATGCCACACCATCAAAGGTGTAAATATAGGCCATGAGAAAATATATGTGTTCTCATGTTTTAGATAATGGTAGTACTGATACGCACTGAACTATCTAGATGTCTAAGAATAGCCGTTACGCCCGGTTATAGCCTCAGTCGGTCCTATTCCCTTAACTCGTTTAAAATTTAACCAATTGTAACAATTTCCTTTGCTCATTTGAAATTAGGTGATGGAAGAATTTAACCGAAATTAATGGATATTCAAAATAAACAATTTGATCACTGTAACAAGACAAAGTTTATTCCTAGACAAACTACCAGGAAGTTACATTAATAAAATAAAAGAAAAAAATTGAATAAAAAGAAAAAACACAGAGAGAAAATTGAAGGAAGGCTTACAACTAGAAGAATACAAAATTATTTTATAGGCTAGATTTACAGCGTGTCCCGAGACCTTCTCTTGCCTTTGGCGCGCCACCGCTTTGACCAATACTCAAAATTATTGCCCCCAGTTACCATTGCCTGAAAACCCTCCTGGCAGATGTTCTGTAGGCCCGGGAGCGGTAGGCGACCTTCCAGAATTCCTTCGGGCGCACGCCCTCACAACGCGGCTGCGGCGGTCAGTGCGTCTGTCGCCGTCCCCTGACGTAAGCAAGATGTCCTCTGAGGCCTGCTTCGGGGAACTTTTGTAGATAGCCGGATATCGCCCCCGATCGCCAGTGCGGAGCACACAACAAATCTCCCTCAACTATGCGGAATCCTCTCAAATACAAATTCAGAAGTTTCGAAATTCTGTAGAGGAATACGCAATACAATGGATTCGCCAATTTACTTTTGAAATGCTTTTGCCACTCTCTAAAATTCTCACTGAGAATTCCGGTCTATCACCCTAGTGATTTCAACTAACTCCTTCAGAGGTGCACTGCCCTCTCCCCGGAATAGCTCCCCACGCGAGAAGTCTCTCTGCCAATGAAAATCTTAACTACAAGTACCTTTCAAGCGCATCGCCTCTTCCCAGCCTGCTTCCCCACCCATAGAAGTCTCCTCTAGTCTCTCTACCAACTGAAATTTTGTTTCTCATAAATGCACGAAGTTAACTTTTATCCCCACCCTTTCTTGTCATATGTTCTTGCTCCCTACAACGATCGCGTCGCTATTGGCTAAAGGTGATGGCGTTGTACACTAATTTGGCCAATAGACTCCGGCGGAGTATAGGAATTTTCCATTCTCTGTTTCGAAAGTAGGCGTGTCTGAAGGGGCTTCCCGGCTACTGAATTATTGCTTCGGGTTTCCCCGATCACGATGACAGGCGTTTCGCAAGTATTCAGATGTGGCTACGTGGCGCCTAACAAGTTACTTTCCTTCGGCGTTGGGTGGGGTGTCATAAACATTCGAAATGCGGTCAGGATCGTGCTTGCAAGAAGGTGCTGCCGCGTGACCGTATGTTTTTTCTTAGTAAAACATTCTTCGGTCTGCTTTACTCAATTTAATTTATCTTAATAATTCTGTACCGCTACAGTATACTAGTTAATTGCATTGTATTTCTTAACTTGCGTACCAATTTACTACAAGTATGGATTACTCGAGTTTAACCACAGTCATGAACTGTGAATCACCTCTCCAGTATTAATTTATCATTAAATCTGAATACTGAAGAGGGCTTCTGTAATTTACTTCCATACGGATATTCTAAATTTAGGGTTCTTGAGGACTAGGGTGCTCGTGTATCAAGAAAACTTGCGCGAGTAATAGTTTGTCAATGTATCATGTCAAGGTGTAGGTTATGTCAATCAAGTTGGCACATAATTTGTGAGAAAAAATATTGTATGATTCTAAAATATTGTTGAAATAGTAAATACCTTGGTTACCAAAATGAATGACGGAAGAAAAAGATTTGAGGCTCCAAATTTATTACATACATATATATCAAATGAAAGACTATCTTTCGTTTCAGTGTTTCAATGTTACGAACACTAAAACTCGATAAAAAATTCAATAACAATAACGCCTGATTGAGTTCAACAATGCAAATATTTTTTAGAAAACTTGAAAAAATATTTTTTGGGGAATAGTATATTTCATATTTTTACCAACACAGTTCGCCAGAATCCAATGGTACCTACAGATAATAAAAGTTAAAAATGTGGGCGACCAATGTCAACAATTTGTGCATTTTGATGTGGATGATGTAATACTAGTAATTCGTAGTACGTAGTGCACTCTGAAAGTAAGTCTCCCTATTTTATGAAATAAAAGACAACATTGTTACATGCAAAACTTTACTGGGAGCAGGTATAGCAATATTTGAGCTATTTTTCGACACAGTCACCACACAAATTTAGACATTTCTCATATGGTGGTATTAACTTTTGTATACCTGTCTCGTAGAAGTGTCGCATGCGAGTGGAACCAGCGTGACACATTCGTCTTCAACTCTTCGTCGTCGTGAAAATGACAAAAGATGGACAGGAGGACAGGATGTATGGCTGACGGGAGGGCAGGAAGGTCTTCAGGTGCAGGAAAAGACGAAAATCGCTGGGTGCGAGATCAGGACTGTGTGGTGGATCAGCAAACAGCTCGCAGCCCAACTCTTGCAGAACGTTTGCTGTTTACCGCGCCGTATGTGGACGAGCAGTCAGAAAGCAGCACAAGACTTGCAGTAAGAGCTGACGCTGAATTTCGATCGGCGCGCTGTGTTGTGCATTAAGGACTGTATCATGGACCGAACCTCGCAGGCGGCACACGAACAAATAAGCGCCGCCATTTCGGGCCTCTGCTATCGCGCTAGTGACACTAGGCGGGAACTGCCCGGCCGGCACGTGAAGGATTCGTCAAAGATCTGTTGCGAGTGCGCAATTTCTCCGCCTCAATGCGTGTACTTTCAAAGTAAAAATAGGGACACTTACTTTCTGATTGCACCTCGTATTAATCAGGAAAGGGAAAAGCACTGTTACCTGACAATCTGGATGTTCAGCTAAAGACCATAAGCAGAAACTTAAACCGGAAGATGTGGTGTCATGACCCTAGAAAATCGAGTCAAATTAAAAAAAAAAGAAAATGAGCCAAATGTAGTCAATAACTGTAGAGAATTTTTCTTACTTCGAACATAAAAGTGTCAACTTCTTCTCGAATATCTTCAAGAGTTAACTTTCCACCATCTTCATTGTATTGTAAGAGCATATCCAAGAAGGCTAATCTTTTCTTTTGACCTGAAAAATAAGACCAAAATAAATTTTAGAACAGGAAACATGAAGAAATTTTTGTTCTTTTTACAGTACCATCTCTTTCTCTCTCTCTTACGCACTCACATACACGTTCTGAATGTTCCAAAGAATGTCTAAGCGCAACTGTTTTAATTGAAATTCAAAAGGATTTCGGCGAGCAATGTTCCAAGAACGCTGACAAGTGAAGGAGCGTGGTTAAGCACTTTCTTGGGGCAAATTCTCATAAATGTCGTTGATAATTGTATTTGAAATCCAATCACCGTCCCAAAGTTTTCTCACTCGGCACAACCCCAGAATAATTTCGAACCGCTCAACTTGATCATGTACGTAAGGTTAACTGGCTATGGTATCTGCTGTAGCTGTATGTTACACGTTTTATGCCCTCACTGCCATCACTCGGAAGTACGCTGGAAATTGACAGCTCCATGGACTCTCTTACTCATACTATATTAAATGCCCTGAACTTTATGCTCCCCACAGCCTATCTACCCACGTCTCTGCGAGCAATACCACAAATAGTGAAGAAATTAATAAATAAAAAAATGATAATCCAATATCACTAGCTGAGACATCTCTCTTCTGTAGATATAACTAGTGGTACTAAAACAGCACGTACTTTAGTAATAGTTACGTAATACTATTTATTCCACAATTTCCGAATTAACACATCTCAATTATAATTTTTTTTGTAAAACTCATTACAAATCGTACAATATTTGCTGAAACATCAACTATTTTCGAGCAAATATCGACACAAATTTTATAATTGCTTTTCTTACAGCTACATCGTGTCCCAACAATGAGACGTAATTCACAGAAATTCTGCTGCCGATTCGCGGCGCGAAATGCCATTGTAGCATTCCAATCTGATATTCCCTGAAGGCTAACAACTTTTATTTCAAATAGCCTTTTAATAATTTTCAAAAAAGTGTGATTTACAAAATTGAACCTGAACTTGTTTGAAGATCTATTTTTGATAAACACATTTCATTTCAAAACAATGAATTTTCACAATAATTGTAGTTACTCTAAATTCCTCAACTCTGTCAATTCGAGTGGTCTATTATATTTGTCCCGAAATTATACTACTATTTTCAAAAAATTCAACATGATCTTATTTAAAGATCTAATATTTATGAACACATTTCACTAAGAAACAAATGTATCTTCACAATTGTAGTTGTAGGAAGACGCCGACTCTTTTTTTTTAGTTTTTTCAAGTTTGGTAAAATCGCCCATTTTAATGAAAGTGAGACTTACACCAATCTATTTAGCGTCCTTTATATTCTCTAAGTTCCCAATTTAATCTATAAATGTTGCGCAGTTTTTAAGAGAAAGAGTTTTAAAGAAATAAAACTTTCCTCTATTTGACACTATTTCCCAAAGAATACTCATGTTTTTGAATAATTGAACATAACCTTATTTAAATATCTTATTGATGAACACATTTCACTAAGAAAAAAATTGTACCTTCATACTTTGCAGTTGTAGAAAGACACCGAAAAGAAATGGAATTTTTCAATTTTCGAAACAAGAGGGTTTTCAAGCAATATGAGATCTATATCGTTCTCTTAAAAGTCCTTTAGACTATCCACTAACAGTATTTCATCAAAAACGATGGAGTATTTGAAAAAAAAAAAATTAAAAAATTATCTACATTTCGCGCAAAATTATTAAATAAAAATAACACGAAAGAATCTATAATAAAAAAATGCACATGACCTTATTTCAAAATCTGTAAAGAACAGATTTTATGAAGAAAAAATATTAATCTTTAATATTTTACTTGTAGGAAGACGCCGAAAATAATTTTAAATTTTTAAAATTTTCGAAAAATCAGAATTTTTAACCAACATAAGACCTGCGCTATTTTCTAAACGTCCTTTAGACTGTCCAGCAACAAAACTTAATCAAAATCTTCGGCCCCATTTTTCTAAACATTTTGAAAATGTCCCAGGGGCTTCATGTAAAGTACTCCAAAAATGATATATCAATTTCAAATTCAAGGGGTCACATTAGCCAGATCGTTTTGGAAATATCAATTTTGAAGAAAATCGTCTGAACGGTTTAGCCGCCAGCGTTGTTCACAAAGAAACGGACGGGCAGACGTTTTGCTGTCAACCGATTTTTCGGAGTCAAGTCATTCGGTACAAAACATGGAATCTGGGTACAACACGTGTTAGAAGATTCCCCTCCCTAAATTTAGAATCTGGATTAATGAACTTTTTCGTTTCCAGGGCCTTGTAATAAGTGTTTTTCTGCCGTCAATTCCCCGTTCTTTGCGCAGCATTACATAACTTTCTTTCCACCGCGTAAGTGGTAACGAAAAAGTAAAACGAAAGTCTCCACTACGGCTAGACGAATAATACCGGTTCAGAGGTATTGAATAAGACATCTTGAGACTACCATCTGCAGAAATATCAGGTTTGACGAGACTTATGGCCGCCCTGTGGATGAATTAAGGGTAAAACTTTCATGATCCCTATGTGGATAATTCATTGTAAGTTGAGATGAATAATTAGGAATTTACCGTGCTTATTGGTTTGAACATTTTGTCCGTATCACGATCTACTGGTTAACTGTTGATTTGAGAATCTGAACATTTTATTTACATTAGGTTACAGTGGTTGCCACGTGGTTAATGGTTGATCTAATGGGGGCACGTCAATCTGCGCCCGCACGAGCTACTTGCCCGCCTGGCGAACCCGCCTGGCAACATCCCCTCACTCTGCACGCGCTTCCCCTTCAAATCCAGAAAGGGGTGTACATACTCAAGCTGAAGCGGCGCGAGGCGGCAAATAGTGGCATCATACGAAAATATGTTGGCCACATTTTTTCTATCAAATAACCGAGAATTGTATCATGTTTATATTCTTCACTACTTATAACTATTTTATGTTTATTTTCTTTCTAAATTCTCCCTTACATAAAGACCTTTGGTAAGCGGCAGGAATGTGTTTAAATGGAGAATTCATATCTTATTATTGGTTTGTGTTGTCTTATTAAATCATTCATTTATTTGTCGTTTTTAGTAATAATGAGAAATAAAGTAACAAGTCTCTAGAAGTTAACAATTCTCGCTTACGGACAGCCAGCCTATTTAACTGACTAGAATATTTGTCTGTTAAATGAATGTTAACCTGAATGTAGAAAGTTCATGCTTTTATATCACTCTTAAGTAAACAGAATTACACAATCAAGAAATCAAATGGAATGTACATATAACAAAATTAAACACTAAATTAATTTCATTATGTTACGCATTCAGCATTCTTTCAAATTATGTCAGCCTTCGTGCAGCTCGTTGAGTGTATTTGCAAATTCCCGCCTGAGATATGGCATATCATTCTGGGGAAACTAATCATGTAAAACTCGGACCTTTTGATTGCAAAATAAATATTCGAATAATGAAAAAATGTCATCCGCGTGATCCCTGCAAGCCCGTCTTCATTGAGATTGGAATCTTACCACTGCCTTGCCTATATATTTAGAAATCTGTAGTATTTGTCAAAAGTTACTTACTTAACGGTGGTAACATATTTTCATGCAATACTAGTATTTATAATTACAACACACACCGTAGAAATCACGCTCATCAAGTGTCAGTATCAACAGCTCACTATCGGAAATCCTCGTACAATACATGTACGTTACTTAACAACGCATTGCCAGATGGCATTAATCAATTGAAGTCGATTCACATTTAAGTTAAAAGTAAAATATTTCCTGCTGCATAACTGTTTCTATACAATTAGAGACTATACTGATTATTAAAAAGAAAAATAGTGTTTATTTTAATAAAGTTAAGTTTTCTCTAACTCGGGAACAAAAATGTTTAATTTTTTTCTAATATTGCTTCGCTTGCGCCTTTTCAAAATTCATTTTCATTGATTTATTTATTTTAAACCTTTACTCATCTTTCAACTATTATAGCTAAAATGATGGGAAGAGATTCTGGAACTCAAGAAAACGTGCGCAGACAATCTTCTCTCCCATACGTTTCTACTTTCAACCGAGGTGTCCGAAAAACGTATTGATAAAATATTTTAAATTTCGTCGATTTATTAATTACACCAGTTTATATAACTAAAACTAGTACCCTAATGTTAATTGTTTTTTTTTCTTAAACTTACTCACCAACATCGTTCTCATTTTCAGCACCAGGGTCCTTTTTCTTTTTATCAGAAAGTTCTTTCTTTCTTTCTTCTATTACCTACAACACAAAGAATCATAAGACATTTTTTAATTGGATTTTTTTTTCAGAACTTTGTACAAAGTGTTCTCACCTTGTAAGACATACTGTGTAATTTTTTATTGAGGTAATTTTGTTTTCGACCTATTGGGCTCATATTGAAGATAAATTCAGGAAAATACCACGGGCTGATACTTCGTGTAACTATTGTAGCTGCTAATCTTAAAAGTAAAATATTAATAATAATACAATTAATGAAATGGTAAAATTCTATTGCCAAAAATTCTTTAGAAGTAACAAACATTACTACTGTCTTCAATTTGACCATGCAATTATTTAAATTCCAATTTCTATTAAGGAAAAAATACACACAAGTTGTGAAACATCAACATGTTTACGTAACCAATAACAATAATCATTTCATGAAAGACGAATTGATGAAAGCATCTCACAATTTATCATAGATGGTACGGGTACTAAATTAGAAATTTCCGATGAAGGTAACGTAAAACAATGTCAATGCACAAGTGTTCCACAAAATAAATTATGTTCAACAGAGTTTAAGAACGGATCGAATCTATTATACAAAAGTGAAATTGCTTACAATGGAATGTGTCACATAAAGTTAGTACCACTGGACTGATTGCTCCCAAGTTTGATCCAAATACTTTGTAGCTCTCACATTAACATTAGCTTAGTTACAATGCAAAATGTTACCTTAAACAGTGGAACGTAAACATATGAAACACGTAAATCGAGAGAAGTGGAAACGTTAGAAGTATAACGGGTATAAAGAAGATTAATTGATTATCTAATGTGAATTGTTTCTATTTGAGAATGATAATCTGTGCCACTTCCTCACGTATATGATATTTAAAAAAGTAACACACACATTATATATATATATATATATATATATATATATATATATATATATATATATATATATATATATACATACATACATACATACATACATATATGCTTAAAACAGTGACGGATTAGCTTTTATTCCTAGAAAGAAGATGCTTCAGGTACTCTCCTTGCAACAGATTGGGAGGTCAATAACTTGTCACTAATGCATACACGGGATGTTCTGGTTGAGAGATAGTCTTGGATCCATGCTAGTTATTTGCCTCGGATCCTCATTCATTCTAATTTCTGAATTATTCGCTTATGGGGGACTTTGTCGAAAGCTTTCGCATAGTACAGATAAATGACATAGATCTGTTTTTCTTGGCTCAGTGCCTTAATTTACAGATTGTATAAATTGGTGATGATTGATCTTACAGGGATGAATTCGTGTTGTTCTACAGGGATCAAATTATACCTTCGCACGTAATCCCAAAATCTCTGAACCATTATTCTCTCCATAACGTTTCTCAAGGTGCTGGCCAAGCTTTGCGGACTGTAATTCTGTAATTCTGTTTATCACAATTTTTAAGGTAAGCGCAACCCCACCTTTTTATACGCGGGGTTTCCATGTGTCTAATGACTTTGATTAGTGATTTCTGGTGCGTCAACTGCTATGATTATCATTCCCGAAAGTGTAATGCATGGTTGTAATCGCGGGATGTGATGATTTTCCACGCTGGCTGGCGGAATCTGGCGCCGACTTCTGTCAGCTTGCGCGAATTTTCCCCAACCGTCTTCCACCAGCGTGGTACCACCCCAGCCGGGACTAGCTCTAAGTTTCCGACATGTGTGGTCGTGTAATGCTTTAGAGTGTATGGTCCGTAGGACAAGGAAGGGGAAGGAAATATCGCGCACGGCCCGTAGTCCGTAGGTATTGATAGGAGAAACAACGGAAAACTATCGATAAGAGCAGCCGACCGGTAGAATTCTTCTCGATACAGCAGACTCGTGTCCTCCATTGTGGATTTCCCTTTGCGTGAGTGGCAAGAAGTTCGGATTTAAATGACTGCTTTAAGTTGTACCGTGTACCCTACTTCAGCAGAAATGTTTTATCTTTCGTAACAATGAAACGACACATTGATCTGCATCTCCGTACTACATCTACATACTTCTGCAATGTTGCAAGGTATTCACAATTCTGGTTGTTTTGAACATTCATCTGAACTCCCATAGCAGCATCTGAAATTATAAGATAATTATTATGCAGGTTGAAGATCGTTGAAGTAATCTTTTTTTTTAATTTTCACACTCAACTTACCACATATTACATCCAACGTGTACAGAGTAATGTGTTTGAAAATGTCAAATTCAGGACCACCAACTTGTTGCTTCCATTTACTGATTAAGACGTTTGCATTGGAATTGAATGACTCCATAAAACCTTCAAGTATTTTGAAATGAAAGGCTGGAGTAATTATTTTCCTTCGGGATTTCCACTTGCTACCTGGTTTTGATCAGACAATTGTTAAACACTTGAAAGGATGACAAATAGTATAATGATTTAATATTTTACATACCAATAACAATGTTCTTATTACTATTTAAAACATTATTAAAGTTATATCGCTTATTATTTCTGAGAATTGGGGTCGAACGTAATATCTCAGAGGCACCTACATAGGATTTGAACTGTGCTTAATAATGCGGTATTTTCCATTTATCATGCTACCTACATAAACGCATCATCAAGGTGCTAATAATGTTTTATGAGGTTTCTGATTGAAGGCTTTAGAATTTAATTATCTCTCGGACAACAGTGATCCTATGTTCATAGACTCCCTCTTGGAGATTACGATATTTCGATGTCTTTGGATCTCGTGCCACGCGCTGGGTTGTTTTTGTCCATACCTTCTTCTGTTCAACGCCGGGAGATCTGGCACGATATGATTAGATCGGACCTTGAAATCACATAGTACTCTGATGTTTGCGAAAATTGCAACACAAAGAACGAGATATACCATTAAAATTTATTCCACGGATTAGGAATATCACTACATACAAATTATTAGAATTTCAGAACTGTAATTGTATTTTGACATTTAGTACTGTATAAAGCCGCCACGCACTGCCGTCAGAGCCTCTACACGTCGTGGCATGGATTGAAAGAGAGCCTGGACATGCTGCTGGGGAACACACTGCCACGCGGTTTCTATACGTGACCACAAAGCATCGACAGTGGCTGCGGGTAGACCAGAACGAACAAGTTGCCGACCGATCATATACCAGCTATCTTTGATGGGCGACATGTCAAGCGAATGTGTGGGTCAGGGAAGCACTAGTACCCATCGTTCTTCTAAGAAAGCTTGCACATTTCTCGCCACATGAGGTCAGGCATTGTCCTGCTGAAATATGTCAAGTGTATCTTGCAGGAGGGGCAGTTCTTCGGGCTCTAAGACATCCCCAATGTAACGGTTACTGTTCAGATTGTGCTCAATACGTATGAGGCGAAATCGTACATTGTAGCCAATTGCCTCCCCCCCCAAACCATTACACTTGGCGTCTGACCGCTATGGCGCTGAACAATGCAGGCTGGCACATTGCGATCACCACAGTAGCGTCGAACACGTACGCGGCCATCGCTGTAGCACAAGTTGAAGCGTGACTCGTCTGAAAAATTTTGCCACTCAGCTCAACTCGGGTAATACGTTCACGTGCCCATAGTTATCAGAGGCGTTGGTGGTTTATGGAGAATTGAATCCAGTGGTATGCGTGCCAGCAGTCCAGCCCTCTGCAGACGGCGTCGAACCGTCGACGCAGACGTAACCACACCCGTTGCAGAGCTCCAAAGTTGAGATACAACTGTATGGGACGCCGTTCTCTCGGATAAGGCCATGCGTTGTAGATGGCGGTTTTCTCACGCTGAGGTCACATTGTCTGGTCCAGTATCCGCTAGTCGCACGACCCTCCTCTCTCCACTGATTCCACACACGCATCACTGTCATAGCATCGCGTACCGTTTGAGCCGCAATGTCACGGTATGACGATCCCGTTTCCCAAACACTGATCATTCTGTTACGTTCGAACATACAACACGGGCAGATATTACGCCCTTTGGCGTCGACGAGGCATATCGGCACTTGCTTGCAAGTTTCCACGGTGTTTGACGGATCTACATCGACTAGGTGTGGCGTAACACTGACTTAACCTGTCACACAAAAGAGGACGCTGCTTGATCAACGTGCACGCCATCTCTATAAAAATTGAATCACATTTTATGGATTGGATATGGATATGGATTTATTGTACACATCCGCCGATTTTTAAGCTATTCCCGTCATTCCTTCTGGGTGTTGTAATTTGCAAATTTTCACAAATAGCAGTGTATTTCTTATTGGAACATTTTAAATCTGTAAGAAAATTATTCTCTTTTATTAATGCCGATATTCCATATTTATTACTATGAAGAGAAATCCCATGCCAAACATCTTAAAACATTTTATAATTGAATCATCCAATGTTATATACTTTTTTTATATATAAGTACTGATTTTTAGGAATCCTTCAAAAACATATTTTAAAACCTTACAAAGATCATTTTTTGATAACTTCTGACTTTTTGCTTCAGAAAATTATAGCAAAAAGGCCTTTTTGAAGTGTGAGTATTCAAATATTTAAGAAAGTAATACAATTTTCAAATTTCTTACCAAATGATGTTAGAAGTCCGGTACCTAACCATGGCTGCAGAAATTCATAATTCATGCTCTTTTTAATATTGACAGTAGAATTGAGGAATGGCTGAAATGGAGGAAAGTTGTAAACATAATTTGTATAATAAAATCACTCAGTCGTCAAATCATGCTCAAAACTGTCCAATCCAAGAAGACAAATTCTGGGTCTAGACGTTTTGTGCAGCTGGTTCTGTATTATATTTTGGAGGACGCAGAATTCAAATTTTTATATCCAGAAAGGTCCTCTTCACAGATAAAATAAAAAATAAAAATAATAGAAAAACAACTAAAAGTTTACCTTTTAGAGAAGAAATTTGACTTACCATATTGAAATAATATTTTCTTCTTGACAAATTACACATTTCTATTCGTATATCTATTTATTTCTCAATGTTGCGTAAAGCAACTTTCTACTGTGAAGGATATGATTAACAGAAATTACCTCCATGAATACTGGATCAGCAACAAGTACAAATAGGTAAGGGCCCGCCCAGCCTTTGTAAACGTATCCATGCTCGTTTGCCCAATCACATAAACTTTTATAAAAGTCTGAAACAAAAATTAACAAATATAAAACTTAAAATAATTAAGGTATTATTACTTTGTCGCTACAGAGTAAAGAGAAAGTTATGTAATGCTGCGCGAAATAACGAATTTTCGGTAGAAAAACTCTTATTGCAGCGCCCTGGTAACGAAAAAGTGGAAAGTGTAGTTAGTCAATTTAGAAAACAATCCTGTAACACAGTGCAGCCAGAATTCATGTTTTGCGGGTCATTAATACCGAAAAAGCGAATGACGGCAAAGTCTGCCTGTTTGTCCGTTTCCAAAATCGATATCATCCAATCGATCTGGCTGATGTTACAGCCCCTTAAATTTGATACAGATATTTTACTTTTGGGGATATTTTACATTAAGCTCCTGGAATATATTCAAAATTTTCAAAAACATGGCTCCAAAGTTTTTGATAAAATTTTGTTGTTGAATAGTGTGAAGGACGTTTAAGAGAATGGCGGAGGTATATTTTCGTTAAAAACTCTTACATTTCAAAAGTTAAAATTTTTTCCGAGTCTTCTTAAAACTAAAATATTAGATATATAGGTTTTTCCGAGATAAAATGGGTTACCAGAATCAGATCATTAAATAAGGTGAAGTTCCATTGTTCGAAAATATGAGTCCAGTTTCACTTACATTAAAAATAAGCATATGAAGACGGGCTATAGTGAACCAAAACCTCGGCTATAGTGAACGTAGGAAATACGTCCTGGGAATTAATTCCCTCCTGGAAAATAGTAAATCGCGTCAGTGGCACAAATTCCAACACCAGGCACCTTGAAAAAATACGTATTAGAATTCGTGTCCCCACGGTGAAGGCAGGGGACCGCGAAGGGGCGCCATACGGATGACCTTATGCCACTCAATTTGACTGCGAAAACGAAGGCCGTGTGCTGCGTGGGTGCGCAATTGCTTGCTTCAGTTTCAATCTTGGTGTTACTTGATATTCCGCGGGTCAAAGCGCGTTGAGTTTTACGAAAGCGACAGGAAGCACGCGACTGTCGTATTCTGGCGATATCTGCCTTGACGCGCGGAAAAAGAAACTCGCGAAAAAAGTTTCATTAGCCGCTTGCTCCATCTCACCACCGAAAGCATTCGTATATTATTGGGCGACTAAACGGGTCTTCAGAGATGGGACGTTATTCCAACAGTGCAGAGGTATTGAAGGGCATCAATACTGTTAACGATACTTAGACACCGAGGAAAATAAAGAATCAATTATGGAAATACCACGACCTGTGGAGAAGGATCTAGAGAAATTACTAATGAAAAAGTACGAAGAAAAAAATTGAAAAGAAGTTGGTTCTTTAAGGACAAATAAAGATGTTGAAATTTTCAGTTCGTGCTGTTAATGTATTTTCCTATATCTCTATTTTAATCTATCGTTATGGAGAAATTCTGTTTAATTTTGATATCGTCGGATATAGTGAACCAAATATGTTTGTCCTCAGACGTTCACTATAACCGGAGTCGACTCTATTGAATAATTCTGTGTGAAATATAGACGCTTCTAAAACCATTTAAACATTTTTTCTGAAAAACGATTCTATATTTTTTGTTTAATTTTGTTTTTTGTATATAGCGAAGTATCGTAAAATTATGCTGGTCTCATTTTCGGTACATATTCTTGATTTTCGAAACTTGCAAACAAGAAATAATATCACGAAAATACAATATTGACGATAGAGATATATTAGTTACATGAAATCTGACAACAGCCCGTACTTTCTCGCGATTTTGCTAATTGCTATGTAATATTATAATATGACAATGTCTGTCTTACACTCCAACTATTGAAAAGTTCTTAAACAAAGGAAGTGTGAAAAATTCAACTATTTTTAATTCAAAAGTTTGAATCGCTTTCTCCCATTGCATTCAGTATATTCACATTCTACGTCAATGTACCAACGAATCGTGATACGTATTTTGGCCGTTTATTAGTTCATGCTAACGGGAACCGTTACACAGCTGCCATTATCACCTTCTGTTATCAGTGCGGCGTTACGAAAATGTGTCGCAACAAGTAACAACTACTGCTGATTTGTATGGGAAACACATTTTGCAAATTAGCTTTTTTCGTATCGCTAGCAAGAAAATGAAAATAAATAAAAACAGTGGTGCTACAACAGCATGTACTTTTTCGTGATATTGTTAATGGCTATGAAGTATTATATTAGGACAATTTCTGCCTTACACTTCAACTAGCATTTGAAAAATTCTGAAACAAACGAAGCGTGAAAGATCCGTATATTTTTTTAAATTCGAATGCTTAATCGAAAACAGCTTTCTACCATTGAATTCAGTGTATCCACTTCTACGTATATGTACCAACGATGCACAATGTGTATTTTAGCCGTAAATAAAATTATTAGTTTATATTAAAGCGATCGAGAGGCAGCCGAAAGCGAGCGAAAGGCCTAACTATTTCTAGTTAAAATGATAGCAAGGGATTCTGGAACTCAAGAAAACGTGCGCTGATGATCTTCTCCCTCATACGTCACATGCAGTTTTTACTGTTTTTTGACTAAATAAATATAAATCCAAAGCCGTCATTATCGCCTTTTGTTATCTATGCGGCATTACATCAATAGATTACAAGCAACAATGGCCGCTAATTCGTATGGGATACACATTTTGCCAATTAACATTATTGATACCGCTAGCGGAAAAAAAGATGGAAAAGTATAATTAAATATAATAGTATTTTTATATTCATTAAAATAACTAGGTTTGTACACGCATTACTCTTTATTCCCACGTCTTATTATGCAAAGCGAAATCATCTATTCGTTTTCACATTTAACTCAATTAAAAGACGCAAATTACAATAGGTTTTAAGTAACTTCTGAAATATTAATTTTAAAACGTACAACACAAGTTGAAATGTAAGAACGAACAAAGAAATATGAAATAATAAACTAATTCTAACTTACGAAGCAGCCTGGAATGACGTCCACGTAGCGCAGTAAATTCAGATAGGGCGACTATGTATGTCACCAAATTACACAAAAAATACTCATGTGTTCAAACAATTCAACATGATCGTATTTAAAGATCTGTTTTTGATGAACACGTTTCATTAAAAAATTTGTCTTCCCAATTATAGTTGTAGGAAGACGCCCAAAAAAATGAATGTTTTCAATTAACGAAAAATCAGGATTTTCAAAGAACATGAGACCTGCACCATCCTACTATCCAATATACACTATCCAATAACAAAATTTAATAAAAAACGATGGAGCCATTTTTTGGAAATATTTTAGAACGTCTCATAGGTTTCATGGAAAGTACTCCACAAAATTAAAATATCAGTTTCAAATTAAAGGGGCCACGGCATTAGCCAGATCGATAGGGGAAATATCAATTTTGGAGAAAATCGGCTAAACGGTTTAGCCGCTAGCGTTGTTCATAGACAGACGGACGGACAGATACACGTTTTGCCGTCAATCAATTTTTCGGTATCAAGAACCCTCAAAACGTGGATACATGCTACACAACGTATTTCTCTAATTAAATTTAGTGACTGGATTTATCCACTTTTTCGTAGGGCCCTATAATAAAGTTGCCCTTTTTTTTTTGCTCGTTACATAACGTTCTCTCTACTGCGTAAGCGGTAGCGAGATGGAAAAATGGTTCTTTAAAACATGTCATATACAACTGGTTTGAAAAGTAGTATAGCGTAATTTTATTACTTTGAAATTGCATTTTTGAATTTTTCGAATTTCGTTTGACGAACTATCAATGTGTCGGCAAATTCTTCTATTTGTTGTTCAGACGTGGATCCATTACAAGGCTTTGTTTTATTTATTTATTTATGTATGACTTTTTACGTGAAAAACAGTTAAAAACTGTACGACGTTCAACGGGAAGAAGTGTATACTGTGAACATTTTCTTAAATTCTGGTTTCTGAATAAGCTGGAAACGAGATGGAGAGAACTGGAAATGGATGTGAAAACAAATGGAGAGAATTTATACTTGGATTTATTTAGATCTGCCCCTGACGTAAATCATCTGTTAGGCGACATTATATGTTCAGACAAGGAGTAAAATTGGGTCCGAGTAGCCCGTGTTTACGGTAGTTTTAATATACTTATAGTATTTAATATTATTGTATATTTTTCGATTTATTTTCATTTGTTGCCGACTCTGTGTTACTGCGTTGTAAAATTTACATACGAAACAAACCTTGAGACAGTCGTCGGTCTGCATATGGATTCTCTCAGAATTCCGTCTCATCGTTGACATGATGTAGCTGTATGAAAAGCAATTTTAATCGTCGAATATTTCTTGAAAATAATTAGGTTTCCTACCAAATTTGCTACCATTTGTATACTTGGGATTTATTTCATGGCGCGTGAGGGCCTGTCTTCGCAATTTCACGTCTATCTCGGTCGTGCCGCTAGATGTGGCATGATTACCAGCATTGCTCGATACGGTCGCGATCATGCGATATTCAAAAATAGCAGAGATACAAAGTTAGAAATAGTATTTACTTGGTTCCAATACCGTCCATGAAAATAAGATTGTAAGACTTGGTATAAATCATGTCGAAAAGCAAATGATAATTGTAAATTAAGCCGTTAAACGGATGGAACCGGACACCAACTTGCTTTGGCATCCATGAGTGCCAAAAACCGTTCTCATGATTGGACATGCAATACAGCCTGCGTCCTGTGAATGGACTTACCCACTGGATTGCGACCAATCGAGAGGGTCGTTCCGAAGATCGGCCACGACCGCGGCCCCGGCAAGAAGCGACTCGTCTCGCGAGCTGGCCGAGACCAGAAGTAGACGTAATACTGAATGGACCCCAGCACTAGCACCACTAGTGCGAACAGGGTCCAGGTGTCCATTTTCGGCTACACAGCAGAAAGCAAGGCAAGGAGTTATTTCACGAAATTTGCAACTTGCAACGCACAACTTATAACTTTATTGGACACCTCTCGAATTATTACGAAATATCACCAGTCGATTGTACAGCATCAAAAACTTCAACAAGTAGTATCAAAATTTGAAATTATTTAACATCGCTAAGAACGAATACCTAACAGACGGCCTTTCTGTGAGGTTTCCATCTCTGCTACGAGCCGCGGTGTTTGGAAGCGCGCAGATGTGGCGATGTGGGAAGGGGCCCTTAGGGCCTATTAAGTATTTGATATAAACTGAGGCAACAACTAAGATGAACTATTAGTTTGAAAAATTGTTAGTTTTATAAATCTGCGGTGCCGTGTGTTGCTTCCTTTTTTGGTTGCGTGACGCTTGTACATGGAAACGTCAACAAATCATTAACTGATGTTTTTAAATGCAAAAGAAATCTGCAAAAAGGAAAAGGGTGACTTTTCAGAATGCATTAATGAGTGTGCCTCCTTCAGCAACGCGGGGCCGGGCGGTAAGCCGAAACAAAAAGGGAAACTAGTGGTGCGACTAAATGGCACAGACTTTCTCGTACTAGTTGTTTTTTTTAATTTCTTTGGTCTTGCTCCATCTTCTTGTCAGGTGCCATCTATCGCCACTCAAAGTACTTTGTTTATATCAATTTTTCGCTTTCCTACTTGTAGAACTGAAACATTATTCTAAGAATATTATACACAGTAAGAACTCGTCCTATACGAATATTTCCGTTGAAAACCTTGGAGCCAATTTTAAGAAAAAGACGTTTAAGCGTTACTTAAAATGCGAAATTTGAAGATCTATTTCACAAAAATCTGCTGAGTTTAAACCACTGTCGTTCTGGCGTGAGTCCAACTCTCTGTGATTTTGAACATTCATTAATTTTGGAGTTACTTTACATCGAACATATTCAAAATTTACGGAAAATGGCTTCGAAATTTGATCTTTTAATTTCTTGTAAGAATAGAGTAAAATACACCAGATTTTCACAGTTTACTCTGAATTTTCGATAATTGCAAAAGTTTGATTTTTTTGGCGTCTTCTACAACTATAACGTTGAAGATAGAGATTTGTCCTTCAAATGAAATTTTTTCTATATAATTATTTCTTTCATTAATGTCGTGTTCATTTTTGTCGACAATTTGAGTAGTTTTTGAGCAATATTGCTTGCAAGAGGTGCACTTTTAAAAATAATAAAAACATGATTTTTTCAAAAAGGCTCCAAATTGTTTCTTTAAATTTTGGTAGGGATAGTGATGATAAATGTACTCTATACCATGGCATAAACGCCATGTTGCTCTCTTCCTTTGTTTTTTCAAAAATTACAAAAATTTAATTTTCTGACTAGCTTCTCACGTCCTTAATATTTACATTACCAGCATTTCTTTAAACTTTTCATATGGATAGTACAAATTGCACGATTTAAGACGACATAAAATTCATTTTGCTGTATTCTTTTGTTATGGTTTTTAATTCACGAGTATAATATATTTCAAATATCCCTCACGATATCATCTCACATTTCAGAGATATGTATACATTATTATATTTGTGAGTGAAAGTGCTTAAAATGATTTGAAATGAAGTTTTTTGAAAACTCAAAAGATTTTTGTGAAAAATATCTTCAAATTTGGCATTTTAATTAAAGCTTAAACGTCATTTTCTGAGAATCGGCTCCAAAGTTTTCAACGGAAATATTCTTATAGGATGAGGTCTTACTGTGTATAATATTCTTAGAATAATGTTTCAGTTCCACCATTTAAAAAAATGTACTTTAGGCGGCAATAGATGGCAGCTGGAAAGATAATGGGGCGTGACGAAAATCGAGACTAGACCAAAGAATGTAGAAAACTAAGTAGTACGAGAAAGTCTGTGCCATTTAGTCGCACCCTTTTTGTTTCGGCGCACCGCCCGGCCCAGCGTTGTTGAAGGAGGCCCACTCATTGATGCATTCTGAAAAGTCACACTTTTCCTTTTTGCAGATTTCTTCTGCATTTAAAAATATCAGTTAATGATTTGTTGACATTTCAATGTTCAACGCGTCACGCAACCAAATATGTAAGCAGCACACGGCGCCGAAGATATGTAAAACTAACAATTTTTCAAACTAATTGTTCATCTTAGTTGTTGCTTCAATTAATACTAAATAGTTATTACTTTTATGTTACTAACTTAAAAGGTACGATGTTTAAAATAGTATTAAATTGTGTATATGTCGCTCAAGTATTCATTCTATTCACTTCAGTCGAGGCGTAAACAATGTGTACAAACTACACATATTATGGTAAGAACTGAACATAATAATTTTGACTTCTGTAACTTTGTGGATTTAAATTTTTGCACTAGATATGTCGTGAACTTTTTCTTGAGACTTTACTGTACTCTCTGGTGACACTTCTTTCGACGATGTTATTTGGTGCGAAATCATAAGCGAGGAGGAACTCACAAAGGTGTCACTTCTTGAAGGTGAAGCGCTTTTTACTTACGCACTTTGTCGGCGTATACTACATATTTATTTATTTATTTGTGAGTTTCCAGGTAGTTGCCTTTTGAACTTGATTACGTAGTTTAACAACTAAGGAATTGTGACTTCTGACGCAGGTTAATGCCTTAATGCATGAAAGGATGTGCCTCCTTCATCGGTGCGAGCCCGGTCAGTGCGTGGAGCAGGCCAGCTGGCGCGACGATATGGGCGCTTGCGCTCTCCGAAACGAAGGGGGGGAAAATAGTTCATGGGTTTCCAAATGACGCATAATTTATTTATGTTTAGCAACTTTCATACCCGTTTCATGTCTCTACAAATATGTTCAATGCAGCCTAATAGTGAATAAAGAAATCCGTCACAACAGTGCGGCTCAAAATTGGATGGTTATCAGTGATGTCGCTGCAATCGCTGCAATTTTAGACGATACTTATAAAATTATTAAACTTGTGAAGCAATGTTCTTAAAGTAGAGATTTCGAAAAAAAATCTATAATGCCACATTATTGAAAAATCAGACATTTCAACAAACATGAGACCTACACCATTCTCTTAAGCATCCTTTACGCTTTCTTAAGTCCAAATTTAATTTTAAAAAATTGTGCCGTTTTTTAAGAAAAAATGATTTAAAGAAAATACAAATTGCCAATTGCTTCCAAATCATTGCTTTCTCTCTCATCTGGCCTCAAGCTCCAAGGCTCTCTCAGTAGAATGCTTACACCGGTGTCGCGAGTTAAATTCCGTAAACAAACAATACTTTCACAATCACTAACCTTCATCGCCCCTCATTTAATGCACTTTCTCTAATGCATAAATACATAATGCACTTTCCCTAAAGGAAAAGAGGCTGCACAGAACCTACCCCTTTTGGACGGCTAGCAGCCAAACTCGCCGTCGTAAACACCGATTCCTGGCTTCATTGCTTGGGAGACAACACAGTTGAGGGCCGTTCCCAACGAGTAGATCAACTCCGTCACCCGGAACGGATCTGAGCCTCGTGGAGAACAGGTGGCTTTTCGCAAATAGTATTAAGTGCAAGTGGAAATGAAACGAACCAGTATCGCACAAAAATAAAAATAGCTGTAAATGAAAATTCCCAGAACATGTAGTTCCATTTGCACGTTACACACGCTTTACTCTCGTATATTCTCATTTTAAGGAAGAGACGGAAAGACGAGCCGACGATCCCCGATAATCGGGGTACACAGTGACAGAGGAAGGTGACCTCGAGGGTTATCAGGACCTTTGAAATTTGGGGTTTCAATGCTCACAAACAGCCCTGTGTTATTATCTGACATGCCTCTTGTGTGGCGGCTAATCACGTGCCCAACGCATGAGGAGGGGATTTCGATCTTTCAAAACCCTCAAATCCTTAAGACGAGAAAGTTATGTAATGCAGCGAGGAAACAAACGGCGAATTTTCGGCAGAAAAACTCTTATTGCCGGGCCCTGATAACGAAATCAATATTTTAATTTTGGGAGGTACTCTACACATATTCCGAATTTTCAAAATACTGTGTCCATCGTTTTTATTAATTTTTGTTGTTGAATAGTGAAAAGGACGTTTAAAAGAATGGTAAATTTCTCATTTTCGTTGAAAACCTTGATTGTTCGATAATTGAAAAAATTCAATATTTGTCTTCTTCCTATAACTACAATTTTTAAGATTTTTTCTTAATGAAATGTGTTTATAATAACAGTTCTTCAAAAGAGGTCGTGTTCAATATTTTGAAAATACGACTATATTTGCATAATTTTAGATGAAACATACGCGGAAAACGTTTTAAACAATTTTCTCAGAAATGTCTTCTAATTTTGTCTTTTATTTTTATCCTCGTACGTAACAAAGAACTGTCAAGATAGTGATGATGTCTCTGTGGTCAGGGCACTCTGCATTTTTGAAAATGTTTGGAATTGTAAATTCGAATTTCGTGCGCGTCATTTCAGGCGTTGCCAGTTTAAAAAACAAGTTTCAAAATTTTTCGAATTCATCCCATTGTTGCCGGTCATGATGTAGTAGATGTTGTATGATGTAGTTAATATTTTTATGAATAGAAGTAGATTGAAGGAAGGAAATACATTTTAACTTAGAATTAACACACTCCTATACTTTAAGAAGTTTTAATCGCTGATTATTGTATTAAAAATAGCGCTCTTCAAATGTAATCAGGGCCGGCTTCTGTGAAATTATTCTTGCTTTTCTTTATTATGTTATGTAAGTTCTGTAGCATTTAAATTCACAATTATGAAGATAGAGTTTTTTCGCTTAAAGAAATCTGTTCCTCAAAGACAGATTTTGAAATAAGTTCCTGTACAAGTTTTCGAAAATTTGATTATTTTGCGTGAAATTAGGCATTTTAAAAATTTTGTTTACACAATTTTTTTCTCCAAAACGACACGAACAATTGTGAATAAATGTTAACCATAGATAGCATATAGGACGGTTAACAGAATGCTGCAGATCTTATATTCGTTGAATATTCCTATT